ATGACGAATGACGAATGACGAATGACGAATGACGAATGACGAATGACGAATGACATTTTATTTCAACAATGTTTTGACATTATTAATTATGGAAACTCTGGTTATCTTCTTCTTTCTAGGAAATAACTGTCGTCTGTACGGTCCGATAGCCAATTCTTGTTACGTGGCACGAATTTGACAGATAACATTAAGGGGATATTTGGTGTTGTGCTATTTGAGATCAATATCATGACGTTATGTTATATTAGGGTACTTTTCTAGGAAAATTGGGTTTAATACTTAACACTAGTTAGGAATAATATTTTATTAGAATGTATAAATACATTTGGGGTCGAATTAGATTACTTTAGATAAGTTTTCTGGTAACTTGTGGCGATCACCAGAAGTGTGATTTCCAAAATATGCATGGTCATATCCTCCTTGGTGAAGCCATCTTGACTTTTAAAAAAGGGGTTAAATACGCCGTAGCCATGAGGTTCGTGGTTGATTATTTATCATCTTTTTGTTGGGAAAGGTACCGGGGGTACGTGTTTGACTGTTCGTGGTGGGGAGTTCCATCGCTTAATGGATTTCTACCAGAAATCAGGTATCTGAAAGTCTGTGAACCAAGGTATGAAAGACCTTCAGTCTAATAACTTCAGTGATACTAGTAATTTATATTTCGATTTATCATTTAATTTTTATTTATAAGAGTAATTCTGTAACTTTATTAATTGTGCTTAAGCTTAACCTGCTGTAAGCCTTAGTGATCACGGGGTAATATTAATTGTTTCTTTTACTCTAATAATTTTAAATTCATAGAATTCCTCTTTAACTTTAGTAATTTTTCTTGTCAATTTGTATCTTAAAAGAGCTCTAGGTAAATGCAGGCCCATGACACTCCCTGGGCGGGAAAAAGACGCGCAGCTTTTACTACGCTGACGTTTTCGGGATATAACCTATCACTTGTCATAAATCCGGTTAAAAACTCGCTACCATGCGCAGGCAACCCATATTACGTACACAAATATAAACTTTTGTTTACATTTTATCGAAGTAGTTTTTGTAATAGATTCACAGCTTAAAAATGGAAAATTTGTTATTTTTATAGTGGATTTAGATCAAAAATACCCCAAATACACTTCGGTGTGTGTTTTATCCTTATTATTGCTCATTTTATTTGAGGACATTGGAATAAATAGAGTACTAAAAGTAATCAAGCTAAAGAAGTGTGTTATAAAAAGAAAATACATTGCCTTCGACTGATTTATGTTTAATATGTTTTTGTGAAGTATTTCCAACATGCTAGTTATTTGAATGGTTGTAAATTGTACGTGTATAAGTGATAAAAACATCTAGTGCTTTGTGCTTCCTTTTTTCTTGTTGGTGTCCCAGCCCAGCATTCCTAGCCAGCAGTAGTAGCAAAAACATTAACATTGTCTACATTCAACCCATTTACATGTACATGATTTATCAGCTAAAAGCAGAATACAATATTTCTCTGCAAAATGTAAACAACGCTACAAGGAAAATTGCTCATGTAGTAATTCAACAATTAAATCAAAATATATTATTTTTAAAGGACTTATATCAACTATTATGTTAATTATAAATATTATAAGTATTTGTAACAAAATAATAGTTGTGTATTATTAAACCTGTTGCTACTCCAAAAAATATATTATTTATTGATTATCAGGTATCAAAAATGTGTACCTATAGAAATTTGTTGAAATGTTCTATTGCTCTTAATCTTTTTAATGGGTTCTTATTATAGTTGTAAATAAAAATCAACACTTTTTATCCGTCTATTTAACACTTACAAACGTATGCATATTTTAAGTTGTAAGGATCCATAGCCTCTTAATGTTTTATATTAGAAATAAGACCTGTGTCACATTAAATCGTGAATATGAGGTTAAGGATTTGGGAGTTTTCCTTCAGTCTAATTTGAAGTTCAATAACCATTTTTTACACATAGCTAAAAAAGCAATAAAAGCATTAGGTTTTTAAATCAGAAATACAAAAAAATTTAGGATTACCACCAAAATCAGATTATATAATGCCTTAGTAAGACTCCATCTTGAGTATGTTTCACAAATATGGATGCCCTTGGAAGCCACACAAATTGATCATATTGAAAAAGTCCAAAAAATATTTTTACGGTACCTTTATGTCATAAAAAATACTTGTACCCTTATACCTAAGATCTCGTATAAAACTATGCTCAATAGTTTTAAGATTAAATCTATTTTACAAAGAGGAAAGCAACAGGCTATGATATATTTTGTACTCTATTTTAAGTACAAAGATTGTGAATTGATTGACTATATAAATGTTAATGCGGCAAAGATTAATCTAAGAAACCCAAGTAACAAAAATTATTTGATTAAGATCCAAGTAGTATATCTCCTTTTAACAAGATGATGGCTGTTACCAATGAGTTTCTTAACGAGATCCAAATATATATCTTTAATGTTAGCCTAAGAAAGTTGAGGACTGTACTAAATTAAGTTCACTAGATATAAAGGTTTGTTTTGTTTTTGGTCTTAAATTTCTTGTTACTTAACTCTACATGTAACTACTATTAATTTTATTATAGTATCCAATAAATAAATTATACTTTAAGGCTGCTTTCAAACAATTCTGTATGTAGTGACTTAGTTTAAAGTCAATTTTAAATTAGTGGTTTTACAAGAATGTCAAATAGTAATATGTATTGTGTCTATGAATTTGCTGTGTGTAGTAAATGGCCAATATACATAACTTTGATATTTTTATCACAAGTGTAAAAACTACGAAAACCATATACATATAATTTCCATTTTAAAATAAATTCAAATTAATTCATAATAAAAAATAACGATTTTAGTCTGCCACACTTGAACTCATTCACAAAAACAAGTCACTGAGTATATACTTGTAAAAAAACTACACTAAATATGTCTCCGTTACAAATTTTTAAATTTAAAACTTCATACTTTCCTATAGATTTTGCAGTACCTAAATAACGTATAGAATACATTTTTACAATATACTAGAGAAGTTTTAGATTAGAGCAATTCTTAAGAAATAAAGCAATACCTCTATTTTGTTACTCTAACCTTGTGTGTTATATATTTCCCTTGACAAACTAACGTTATATTTTGAACTAAAAGTAATTAAACTTTTCACCAAAAAGTAATATTTCACATATATAAAAAAATTTAAAACGGTTCTGTCCTTCTTACATTTGCGAAGACTGCCCTGATATCTAATCTATTAAGTTGTTCAACCGTTGTCTATAAAGGTATCTCACATCTCCCTCATACACACGAATTTGAAAAGCAGCAGAACAAAAATTCAACTAACCAGGTATACCAAGTCCGTGTAAAGAAAACTTTTCATATCCCGAAAACGTCAAATGTCAACTAAAATTTATACTTTTAAAGATCAAACGTGCCGCCTCAGAGTGCCAATACTGATTGGTATATATACTGGGGTAAATGTATACCTATCTATCTTATCTATGAAATTTTATAAAAACACGTATTTTTCTATTTATTTGTTTAACTTTAAAGATAAACAGTAATACTAGCTATTTAATGACCCACACCTTTTGTCCCGACAGCTAGCCGAAGTGGTATTCTTCTCTAAGCTCTAGGAGAACACTATAACCTTTTTTTTGTAACGGTTATTCTAAATTCTAAATAATAATATACAAAATTTAGGAGGTTACCAACTAACACCGATTTTTGAGTTATAGTAAATAAACCCCGTTATAAGACATTAACTGGACGTCTTGAGATTTAGTGTGCTATGTGGATATTATAAAATTAAGCTAGTAAGAAAAATTATGCATAAATAAAGATAAATTTATTACCGACCTTGAAATAATACTAATTTGGTACAATAACAAGAAGTTTAAGCAAAATTCTTTTATATATCTTTTAAGTTTTTGTTTAAGAACTTTGATTTGTCTTGTTTTTCTTTACTCTTTTCTTCCTGTTGTAAAAGTTGTCTTCTAAGCCGTTTTATGCTAGGGTTTTCTAAGATAGATTCCTTATTTGAAGTTTTATTTGAAGGGCCTGGCTCAGCTTGCAATATTCTTCTTTTTAAGTACTCCAAACAATAAATTATTACAATAAAGTTTTGAATTATACACAAAATAGTTTTTAAAAGTTCATAACATAATAATGAAAAGTAATTAAAAAATATATATGTTTAATTATGTTTATTAGTATACGCAGATTCTCCGGCTGCCTGTAGAGAATTCAGGAAATATAGTGGGAACTGCTCCATTTAGTAAACGTGCCATAAAAAATGTCTTTCAAAATGTTTTGAACACTATCTATCATTTGGCGAAGGCATCCAATTTGCAATTTTCGTTGCCTGAATCCAAAGATTTTTTTGCTGGATCCACAGGAAATCTAAAAAAAAAACAAAAAATAAACATTGCTGCAATTAAATAAGAAACAAAAGTAAATTAGGATTTAATAAAAGTTAATATTTAGAATTGTACGACACGCCAAGGGAAAAACTTACATGTTTGGCCATTTTAATATCATTAATTGCCTAAATATCAATAAAAAACATAAAATAAACCAACTTGGTAAAATTTATTACTCTGGGGTGAGAGATGTACAATATGTAAAAACCAGGTTGTATAACACCAAATAAAATGAAAAATATAAGAAAATATATAAAGTGAAAACGATTGATGTTTATCATTTACCTGTAAAACGTAAATAGTACAGGGTAATTAGCCAATTATTAGAGAAGATTTCTTAAAACATAATATAAAGCTAAAAATTTGTATAAGAGTTTATTTTAGTATAGCAATTCTTAATTTCTGGTGTTGCATAGTGTGCCGTGTGGTGGGGATGCGGGAGGGATGGAAACAAGACGGTAGACGGCTCGCAGCGCTTCTTATCAGTCAGTTTCTAAACGTGCAGTCTAGATGAGTCGCGTCTAGTTTTCGAATAACGCAGATTTTTTTTTTATTTTTTTTAGAAATAACTTTGTGTTTTTGATTTCCTAATATGGAAACTTCTGAAGTTTGTGTTTTGTGTGAGAAAACTTTAATTGGTGAACAAATAGTAAAAGTGCAAAAAGGAATTAAAAATATTAAAAGGATGAGTGTTCTTCGAAATGATAATATGCATATATTGCTTGAAAACAAAGACTCTGTGGAAGTACATACGAAATGTAGATATATGTATATACGGCGTATAAAAGAGAAAGAGCAGGAATCTAACGAAGAGTCTCGTCGGGAATTACGGCGATTGAACTTTCAGTTTGACTTTAAAACGATATGTCTCTTTTGTGCCGAAGTTCTGGACAATAACCATCCGAACCGAAATCCTATTTCATTAGTATCAACTATGAAAATAAAAGACAATATTATCAAAATTTGTAACGAGCGCAATGACGAATGGGGAAATAATGTTCTGGTACGCGTAAACTCAGTTAAAGACTTAGTTGCGTCCGAAGCGCGATACCATAAATCGTGCTATACGTTATTCAACCGTCATGGGAGTAATCCCAAGGGAAAGTCAAATTTGTGTGATAATAAAAGCGCTTTAAACTTGACAAAACATAATGCATTTTATCAGTTGTGTGATTTTTTAGAAAATAATTATGAATGTCAGTACGACATAAAAGAATTGATGGCAATAATGAAAGAAAAATCCCTCGATGGAGAAGAAGTTTATTCTGAAAAATATGTTAAAATGAATCTAAAGTCTCATTATGGTGATGCCATTTGTATGACATCAAAAAGTGGAAAATGGACTATAGGTTTCCGTGGTACAGCTTCTCGTATCCTAAATGATAGGTGGTATAAGGATAAATTAAAAAATAATGCAGACGAGCGAATGCGAATCGTTGAAGCTGCCGCAATTATAATCAAAGAAGATATTTACTCCTTTACCTGTGAATATAATAACTACCCTTGCGTTGAAGAAATAGCCTCAGGAGGTTATAATGTAATCCCCGACAGTTTAAAATGCCTATTATGAAATCTAAAGGTAAAAACTCGCAGCCCTCTATATTAACTGAGGCCCGACCAAGAAGTTATTTATCCCCCTTGCAGGTTGGCTTGGGAATATATTTACACAGGAAGTTTGCATCAAGAACACTTATTGACATGTTGTTCAACATAGGTATTTAAATTTCTTACAAAGAAGTGTTAAAATATGAGAATTCATTAACCGAAATGACGTTATGAGAATAGATTCCAAGGCATTTTTACAATTTGTATTCGATAATGCGGACCATAATGTTCGAACAATTGACGATCATGGAACATTTCATGTGATGGGAGGAATTCAATGTGTTACACCGGCTAACCTACTTCAAAATGACTTACCTGTTCCACGACCAAAAAAGCTTACAAAAAGTGACACTATTGGACAATACGGAAACATTAAGATACAAATGTACAATCGCCGAAAAAACTCTGGTTTAGGCAAAATTATTTTTTCTGACCTCAGTCTTATAAAAATAGAGCCTCCTACTGCTATAATAGCAGAACTTATGAATGTTCTGTGGATGTCAGGTCCTAGCTGTTTTGACATCCCCCTTCCAGGTTGGAGTGGTTTTATGGGTATTTCAATGAAAAATCAAAGTCACGAATATTAAACATCAGCAATATGTCCCCTATCTTTTGCAAATATGTTACCAACAAATCCATCAACTATCTATACTTGTCTTCAACATTCATTGGAAGAGTGCAAGAAGCTAGGTCAAAAAACATGCATTGTAACGTTTGACCAACCATTACATAATAAAGCGTTAGATATTGTTTTGGCAGCTGAAACGGAAATCCTTTGTCATTAGTCATTGTTCGCATCGGTGGATTTCACCTTCTCATGTCCTTCATGGCCGCTATTGGTTATATAATGGAAGGAAGTGGTATTGAAGAGTTGTGGGAACAAGTTTATACGAAAAATACAGTTCCTTGTTGTCTGGACATTCATATGCTAGAGCATTTAGAGCCTATGTATTAACACTCCTCGTTTTAAGTACTTTAATTTTTGAACAACTAATCAAAAAGGAAATGATTTCAGGAGAACAAATTAAGAAGATTAAAATGCACTATGAAAACATAATAAACATCACTAATAACGAGTCTGATACTCATGCTATTTACAAAGACGTATATTTAATTGCCTCAGCTAGAGTCGATTTTAAAGACCGAGTCCTCAAGAAATCGTACAGCAGCGCTTTGGGGCCAGTATATCGAGATGGTACAAATATTGCTTGCTTTTGTGAGGGCTGAAAGAACAGGTGACTGGCAATTGCACTTATATTCAGTTCAGCGTATGTTACCTTTTTTCACGCTGCTGGACGTAATCACTATGCAAAATCAGCTCATGCTTATTTACAGCTTATGTTAGATCTCGACAATCGTATGCCTAAAGAAGAGTACGACAAATTTGTTACCAATGGATATTTTACTATTCGTCGAACACCAAAATGCTGGAGTGGCATTTGGACGGATCTGACTATCGAGCAGGTGTTAATGAGATCCATGAAAGTGGAAGGAGGACTTACACGTGGTCGAGGTCTCACACATTCAACGATCGCACGCTGGGTTAATACAATTCCGGCCACCATAAACGTTATATGTGCGGTAGAAAAATTTACTGGAGTATTGCCCTGTTACAGTGACCAACACGTAGAGCTACGCGACTCTCGTAAAATACACGACACCGCAGATTTTAAGAAATGTTTAATCTGGCTACGAAATCACTCTCCATTTAAAAGTTCTTTTGACACATTAACTTCTTTGGGTACCGGCCTAAAAGCAGATAAATCAGTAAATTGTGATGGATGATGCAAAAGTAATTGGTCAAATGTCTCAAAACAAGTTTGTTGGAAAATCTTTTGATAAAGCAACGTTCTTGCGCAAAGATAAGGTGAAAAACATGGCAGCTGTTATGAAAACAATAAACGTCGGCAATGAAGAAATGAATATCAATTCCAATCAACTCTTTCATGGAATACTTTGTACCGTAAAGTCTGACGAAGAACTGCAGTCATGTTTAAAGTATGAATTAGCTCCACGGCCAACATCTCTGTTTGATTCTATTTCACTGAGAAAAGGAAAAAAGTAATCTTTAATTGGTATCATAGAGGAATGTTGTCCAACAGCTGTGGAATTACCTTTAGAACCTTGTTTTGTGATAGACGGTGGTTACCTTTTGCATAGAGTAGTTTGGCCAAAACCTACTTCATTTTCCCAAATATGTGACAGTTATATCTACTATATTAAAAGACATTATGGCCCTGAAAGTACTATTGTTTTTGATGGCTACAATGAAAGTGAGTACGGTACGAAGAATGCAGAACATATTAGAAGAACAAATAAAGCTAAGAAGTCCGTGGATATTGTTGTAAGCGATTCAATTTTTCCTTCTTTTACGCAGTCAGAATTTCTGAAAAATACTTCCAACAAAACTAACTTTATTTCATTCTTGGCCGTAAAACTTACAGCTGCTAAATTTGAAGTTCAAATTTCTCCTGGAGATGCCGATGCCCACATCGTGAATACAGCTGTCACATTTTGTACTGAAAATAAGCAAGGAGTTATAATAGGCGAAGACATTGATCTCCTGGTCATAATGATAACTGTAGTAAGAAGTAATAACGAATGTTTTATGTTAATTCCAGCAACAAAGTTTAGGCTACAAAAAGTATTTAATAGCAACCTACTCCAAGAAGCCCTTGGGGATGTAAAAAATCACATTGCTTTTCTCCATGTAGTTACAGGTTGCGATACAACTTCTTTCCTTTTTAATAAAGGCAAAAAACAACCTTTTAAACTTTTGCAATCGAACCAGACATTAAGCAACTAAAGAAGATATTGCTCACGCCGGAGAGTATTTCTTAAAATTATTATATAACGGTCGCGTTTCTTTAGATGACTTAAGCAAAACCAGATTTAACTGTTATAAAAAGGTTATAGCTAAACAACCAGTTTATGGAAAGTTTGATCTGTCAGTACTACCACCAACATCTGGAGCAGCAAAACAACACAGCTACAGAGTTTTTCATCAAGTCCAGTCTTGGCGTGGGGTCCAACTTCCTGCTACTGAGTGGGGATGGATGAAAAAAGAGGGACAACTGTTGCCGGTTCCTACACTCTGGCCTCCGAAACTATATTAAAGTTGGTTTTTTGTAACTATAAAACTGACTGTGCCCAAAGATGTACCCCAATGTGTGGAAAATGCAATGGTGAAGCATGCAGCAACAGACCTTCCATGGTAGTTGACGAGGAAGAACAGTCAGAGGTACAAGAATGCTCGTTAGAAGAGGATTATTTTACTGATCCAAACGAACCTGGGCCATCCAGATTATCCAACTAAACTGTTCGAAGTATCGGTTTTTAAGGTATAAAAAATATATTAAATCTTGTAGGAATTTACATTTGCAGATATGTGATTTTCAGATTTCAAGCAGATCAACGAAGTTTTCTTTTGTTTTAGGTTAATTGGGTTTGATTTAAACCAAAAACATATGGTGGCGCTTGAAATAATTGGAACATAGTTCCTTCCTAGCATTTTTGCCACATTTTTAATAATTCATTTCATTGTAATTTAATTTTAAAATAAAAAATGTTTGTGGAACATTTTTTTTTTATAACTTCCAATATGGCGGTCAATGGCAGCTGTCCACCATCACGCACAAGCTGCAATTCTATAACATTTTTTTTCTACACCCGTATTATAATAATGCACTTATATGCTCATAATCCGTTTCATAATGATACCCATTATGATACAGATTTTTCATTACGATACAGATTTTTAATCAATAGAAACCTACAATTTTTCAATCAAGCATTCTTTTTGACGTTTGTCCTAGGTTCCTATGTAATTGTCTTAGTTGTCAAAACGTATTAAATTTTCGTAGATAGCTAAACTTCGATAATTATATTATCAACATGTCTGATATCAGCGATATAGAAGACTCCTCCACACATATCGGAGAAAGGAGAAAATGCAGTACACAATAATTTGCCCAAAAAATCTATGATAATACCAATACCCAAGGTAATACCATTAATTACAATTTTGTAGAATTTTTTATAGAAATACGAGTAATTACTGTTTTTGTGTTCAATACCAATATAAATATAATATTTATAGTTCTTGATTATTTATCGGGTGTAGAAAAAATAGCGTATGCAACTCTCATGTAATGGTTATTAATACACTCGCCTAAACCATACGAAACTCGCATTTGGCTCGTTTCGTATCCCGGTTAATGCTCGTTTATTAATAACCATCATTACATGATCGTTGCATAATATACTAATTTAATTACCCCTAATGTACCTTAAAACAAATTTTTAGCTTTATATTTTGTTTTTAGTTTGAATAAGCTAATTACCTTGTACTACTTATTTCTTGCCGCTATAACTTTAACACTGATATGACACACAATAAACCATTGTAATAAACCAATTACTACATGCCATTTAATTCAAAAATCAGTAATAAACATGAACAAAAACTTTTGTATCACTAAAATGATTAGCACCAAAATAATGGCGGCCAATAGATATTCGGCACAGAATACTACGTGTGCTCGATATACTTGTTATGCGTCTTCTCTTTATTACCTAGTCGAAGGTGTACGTCCAACAAACTAGGTTCTTTCGTTCGTCCCCCTGGAGCACGGTCAGATGATTTTACACGGAGTAGACTAATTTTCTTTGATCTTCTGCCCAGGTTACTCTAAAGTAATTCTCATTCGCTTAAAATTTCTGGACGGCAACGAATTTGAAAATTGAAGTTTTTTTATTATAGTTATTTGTTTACAGACATTTTATAATGTTCGATGTTCTTTGCTTCCCGTTGCTACTCGTCTCTCGTGTAGTTTTACTTTTTACTCATTTAGTTTTTTTAGCTGTTTTTTTTTATTTCAATATTTACCTATTTGTCGCCCTATTTGTAATCAAGTTTCCAATGAATGAGCTGTAAAGTCAATAGGACAAGAAATTTTAGATTAT